TGAATTTTCCAATATAGCTAGATGGGGGGGTGGGGGGAGGGTGAAAATGAATACACAAAATAAACTGTGCTTTTATAAATTATCAATGAATGATTAAAAACAAAAATTTTTAATTATTATTTATAATAGCAGCTGTAAAACATGAATTTTAACAAAATATGTGCAGGAACTCCACATTGAAATTTATGCAACATTATTGAGAGTAATTAAAGGAGACTAGATAAATGAAAAGTTATACCATGTTAATGAATGAGAAGACAATATTATTAAGGTATCAATTCTCCCTAAACTGGTCTACAGATTCAATGCAATCCTGATCAAAACACTATAAGGCTTCTTGTCAAAACTGCCAAGCTAATGCTGTAACTTATACGATAATGCAAAGTACCCACAAGAACCAGTCACATGAGGAAAAAAATATTTTTTTTTCTCATGTACATTATTGTGGAAACAGTTAACTATGGAGAATTCATAAGAAAAGGGTTGCAGACTAAGACATGTAGAGTTGCTTTGAGGGCTGAGTGAAAGATGGTAAACAGATGTCAAAGGAAAATGAAAAGAATGAAGAATGATTAGAAAATTATCATAGAAAGATGGAAAATGGCAAACCACATTATGTAGAGGCAAAAACTTGTTTAAAAATATTACCTATAATAACTTGGAAAATAATAAATATGCCTAATGAATTAATGACCTTGAGGAAGCAGGTGTCTAGATTAAAATGCTAAAACCATCAGCTGGCTCATTCTAGCCACATGTGATAGGGTACTGCAAGAAAGAATATAACTCAGATAAAACTGGCCAGTATATGTACATATTGAGAAAATTTTGAAAGCTCACAAATTCTAGCACTTGCTGCACTGGAAAGTAAAACTGTGTTATCTACAATCTATATCTATAGACTATATATGTATACTATGATCTGTCCTATTTTTTCTTTGTTCCTTTCTCATAATCTTCCCTTCTTTTACATACAATACCCTGGCTATAGATAGTTTTTGTTTGGATTCCCACAGTATAGCCAAACTTTGAGCCATTAAAATTAACAGGTTTGAACTATATTCACTGATTTGAAAAAGTTTGACAATAAATTAACTGAAAGAAAAAAGACGTCCAAAACGTTAATATGCTAAGGTCCAATATTTGTTAAAAATAAAATACATTCCAAGGAAGACATTATCAGATGACATATATTATAATATTTCAATGGTGACCTCTGAATGGTTGGTACTAAATAAAGGCATTTACTTCTATTTTTATTTTTCGCTTACTGCATTTTCAAATTTTTAAATATAAACATACTTTGATTCTGTAGTCAGCAAAACAATAATGAAAAAGCAAGTCAAGTTTTGATTGAGAAAAAAAATTATAAAGAATTGAAATCTTAAATGATGCCATGTTGTTTCCTATAGCCCAGCTAGCTATACATTGGGAAAAGTAAGTTTCTGCAAAAAACAACACAGAAAAAAAAAACAGTAATGAAAAAAGTAATACCTGGCACATACTAATTAGACTGTAATTGCAGATTGCCAACAGGGACCATTAAATATACAAATCGTTTCTCACTAAAATCACTACTGTGTTTTTTAAGCTAACACTGCAATAATAATTTTCCTACTCCCAAGACAAAGATGGCCAATTAACTTCCAACCACATTTATTTTCATATTTGAATTCACCAAATTGCCCACAGCAGATTGTTCCATGATTATAATCAACACGGAGCAATTGTTAGTATGTTAGATTGAATTCTTCATAAATAAAACATTCCTTAAAAAAAACAAGATTTTCTATCTCAAATTTAGTAGCTTATTATCAATGTTTCCAAAATTATTATCCCAAATATTAGAGTATATTTATCATAATAGTGATTTTACAAAAATGTAATGAAAACAAATTCTCATCTTAAAATCTTTGAATTATATAGTACGTAAATTCTAAAATCCCTGACCACAAGGCAAGCAGCTGACACCTTTTGACTGACTAAAATATCAGAATCAGCCCAACCATCACACGCCATCAAGCTGACTTAACTAATACCTGCCGAGATGAGAAAAAAAAAAATGCCACCTCTTTGTCACCTTATAGGCTAGGGCATGGCCAGCATGTAGCTTCCATGGTCAAATAGGTTGGTGTTTAGATTCAGCTGAGACAACTTTTTCATCTATTGAGCTTCCACAATGAGCAGTGCTCAGAAGTAGGTGCTACTAGGAAACAGAGGCAAAATGATGGCTTCACAAATAGTTTCACTTTATGCTAATTGCACTCCAATGGTGGCAGCACAGAAGCATTGCAAAAGAAGGAACTTAAGGCCTCAAGGAAGAAAGGACAATATTCTACTAGTTCTGTGTTAAGCTCAGAAGAATAAAGCCACAGCACTTATGATGAAAACTTAGGGACTCTTGTAAACAGACCATAGACTTAGATTCTGCCTACACAAGGGGTCTCACTAGGAAATGTTTTCTAAATATCCAACATTTTATGACTTTAGTTTGCATTCTGACACCACTCCACTCCGCAAACTCGGCAAGACAAGTTGCTTAGATTTTCAGTATTCCTTATACTTGAAAGCAGCACAGAGTGAAAGAAAGATTCTACGATTATAAATTGTGTATCCTAAGGCAAGTCTTTTAAAGTCTTTAAGTTTCATGTTGCTGACCATTAAAATGTAAATAATGAAAAGAAATCCTACTTAATTTTCCAACTTTTAGAAAGAATCCAGCTAGAACCAAAAATCATGTCAAAAACTGATTTTAAAACCTACTTTTTCCTATTACAAATAATATTTCCAATAACAACTACCTAAATGCCATGTAATGGAGAAAGACATTTCTCTGTCTATAATGTTTCCACAAAAACTAAAGTTCACACACAGGACAGTTCCTATTACCAATATTAGTAATGCAGAAAACTTATTTATTCTATCTTTGCATGTGTTTAAGTGATGAGCAATTTACAGATGTATTGTAATTTTGTAACTACATCNGGAGAATTTTTAAGAATAAAAATTTTGATACAAAAGTTAATATTTTCTCATCTTAAAACATAAGTGGTGTGAAAAGTTGACATAAATGAAGCCATTTTAAAATAGAGCGAGGGCACCCATTCCAGAGGAACTGCCTTGCAAGTCTTACTCCTTAAACCTTCAGAGTATTTG